TTTCCCTAATGGCTATCTCTCTCATTTCTTTTATTAGCATCATACAAGGACATGCAAGAAGCTTCTCTATGTTTTGAAATGAAGTGGCTGAGAGAGACTTAACTAAATCACGCATGAAGAGCTCTGAATATTGGAAAAGTTCTCATTTTTACCACCAAATGCCTGTTGATCATCCTTTTATCCTTTTTTTTTTGTGAGTTTGACATTAAAATGAAACTCTCTCATTTCTTTTATTAGCATCATACAAGGACATGCAAGAAGCTTCTCTATGTTTTGAAATGAAGTGGCTGAGAGAGACTTAACTAAATCACGCATGAAGAGCTCTGAATATTGGAAAAGTTCTCATTTTTACCACCAAATGCCTGTTGATCATCCTTTTATCCTTTTTTTTTTGTGAGTTTGACATTAAAATGAAAAGGAACCAAAGATAAGTACTGTATATACAAGCACCTTGCTTTCTTCCAAAAGGTAAAAAAAATAAAGGAGTACTTGTTTTCCAAGTTCCTTTATGTCTACTTTGTTACTATAAATACCTTGTACCCGCAGTGACCCTTTCATCTGAAGACACTGCTTTACAAATATTAAGCAAATCCTACCCTTTTGCAATAGGAAGACAAATGCTCAACCCATTTTACAGAAGGATAAATTAAGGCATGTAAGTTTTGTGACCTACCCCAGCTCCCACAGTAACTCAGTAAAATCCAACTCTCAGTCCCTGTGAAAATAAAGAACATGTCTTCCTCTGGATAAATTCATTCAGGCAAATATTACTATGCATGTTACCAGATGTCTGAAGATAACTGTAATGTTAGTTGTAAATTTGGGGCTGACTGGACTATCAAAGCAGCAATACAGTTAGTATTTTGCGAGTATATTGCCAGACCATAAGCCTCATCCGCCCAGTCAGGAAATGAGGAAAATTCTGTATGAAATCCTAATGGCAAAACATCAGAGGTAGATCTTTTTAATGGAGAAGTGAAAGTAGGATTGAAAAAAGCAAAAAGTGAAGAGGTGCAACTGTGCTCTTTCTCCAAATTGTTTGAACCAGCACATCTATACTCTGCTTATAAAGGAGGAGCAGGGGGACTCAAAGGAGCAAGCCAGATAGCAGAAAGACAGCTTTATAGGAAGGGCTCCTGCTTCAAGGTTATCCAAGGTTCGCAAAGTCCTGAAACAGAGAGAAGATGAGACCTGGAAGCAGCCAAACATCCCACCCCCCCTCCTCCCTCCCCTGTACTTGGCTAAAGCCACACATTTATTTTAGATTCTGACTTCACCATAGTGACCAATGTAACAATCACATCCAGTCATTTATTAAGACTATGCTTCAAAACCACCTGGAAACTAGTTACTGCAGAATGCAGTTGACTGCTGTAAATTCTCCATAGGCAACACATTACCTGGACTCTGAAGTCTACACTTGGTTCCAAGACCATTCTGGTTACAATTCAAGGCAATTACGGAAAACAATTAAGTCCTAAAAACTGTTTGGTTTCTGGCTGTTGTTGGAACTACTCGTTGTCTTGGGCAATGCTAGGGAAGCTGTCTGGGTAAAGAGCCCCTTGACTGAAATGCTATGGGACCAGGTACAGGAAACTCTTGTTAAATATTCTAAGCTTTGGAACTCAGTCAGCCCAAAGAGTCCCAAACTGTTGCCTTTCAAAGGTATACTTCTAAGCCTAGATATTTTCTTCTAATGAATAATACTTAAAAGTGACTGGGGAAGGGGGGGTGCGGATTGAAAAAGCCAGCTGGAATCCTAGTTCTATAACTAGGCAGAAGTTCTAGAAGTTAATTTAAAGAGTGTGTACCACCTTTTTATTTCAACTTATTTAAAACATTTGCTCCTATATACTAAGTGAGTATGCAAGTGGGAAAAAATAACCTTGCAAGAACTAAGTTATGTTGATATACTGCCAAAAAATTACATCAAACAGAAGAACCAACACCAATTCCTCAGAATAAAAACCCTGTCCAGTCTCTCTATATGCAATTGAAATGAAAGGAACAGAGATTATATACAATAGAGTGAATCTATAAGGTCTCCAACCTTGTTACGGTGAAGATCATCAAAAGTAGTAGTAGATCATAGTAGTAAAGGGCACCCAGGATCTACCCTCCCCTCCCCCCTTCCGCACCATGGTGCGTCTCAGACACGGCTGGGCTGGGACCCAATCCCACTTCCGTGCCTTGGCTGTGCCAAGCTGCACCTGCCCAGCAGCCAGATGAGCATGGCATCAAGCTGCCAGGCGGTCTGGGACTCTCCACAGTCCAGAGGCGCGTGGGAAGGGGGGCTCCCACCCCTGGGTGCAGCCCAGTGGAGGCCCAGGGGGCCCATGCTCCCCCCACTCCTCTGGACGAGCAGATCTTCCCAGACCTGGCTGGACCGGGGCCGCCCCCATTCAAATCCCTGCTGCTGAGTTGATCCGCACGTGGCCAGCTGCAGCAGGACTCAAGGCGCAGCAGCAGCCGCCTCCACCCCTATAGAGATGGGGAGGGAGTATCCCTGTGCCCCTGGAGGAGCCCCCCAGGCTCCAATCCTCCCACCATGTGACCAAGCTGGGGCCCCACTTACCTTCCTCTGCCCTTGGCTGGGCCGCACGGTCAGTTGCTCACCGCAGGGGCCTCGATCTGTCCCCTGCCCCATCCCTCCCCCACAGATTGACATGCTGGGGTTGGGAGAAGCAGGTGTGCACATGCACACACCCCCAGCTGTCCCCCCAGCCAAGGATTGACCCAAAGAGGCTCTGGGATCTACCTGTCATTCGGGATCCCCAGGTTGGTTACCACTGATCTACAGTCTTCCATATAAAGCCTACTACCAAAACAAGACTTGTGGTCATATGTATACACTGTTGAGAGAGATTAATTTTACTATGGAGGAGGGGCTAACTTGCAAATTTGCCTCAAGAATAAATGTAATAACTGAACAAGTGTTACAAGTGTATACTAGATTTCAAATCTTTTGACTTGATTCCTAGTAGTTTTAATGACCAACACCAGATGTTTTCCAGCTAAACTGATTTTTCTTGCCAAAGACCATAAGAAAATACAGGCATTTATTGAGTGTTAATTTATTGGCTCTGTACATTGTAAAATTCACCTCTCCACCAAAATCTCTGACCCCAATTCACTCCTTACATAAAACCAAGATTATCATGTAGAGGACAGGAAATTAGAGGACAGTACAGCATTCATAAATGACTTCCCAAACTCCTCCCAACAGACCAGTAGGCCTATGATTCAGTAACATCTCTGCAGCCACTATTTCTAATTATTTTTTGAAGCATAATGGCTGAGCCTCAAAAGCACTTATGAAACACTGGAATTACATAAAATCACCCCACCCCTTTTAGACAGACTACATACATCAGTGGTGTTCAACCAGTTAAGATTCAAGGTATCCTTTACAAAACATCAGCTTTTAGTTTTCACTCTTTTTTGACTACAGAAAAACAGACCAATTCTCTTGTTGCATTTAACTCAGGAGGACAACAGTAGATCAGAGTATTTTTAAGGTTAAAGATTCCTGTTTGAAATATCTGGATTTATCCTGTAAGTCATGTTTACATCCCTAACAGTGCTAACATTAGCATCCCATGGCACCCTTAAAAGGATCTCAAGGTACCCTGTTCTAGAATCAGATGTACAGAATACATTTGGTATACAGAATTTAACCCAAAGAAGAGCATATAGCTTATTTTCAGAGAGACTGCAGCAATGCTCTAGTACTTGAATCAAGGCAACAAATGACTGCATGAGAGATGTTAGAAAAGTTATTCTCAACCAGGATGCCATGGTGCCTGGTTCATGTATGAGGAAGTCAGTGCTTTCCTCCACTTATCCACTGCCTCTCTGCATCATCTACCCACAGACAAGTGGTGTCACAGCTGCTCTACAGGAGACTCCCCCTGCTGTCCCCTCACCCCTTTCCACCCAGCTGTACCCCACAATCTAAGCCAGGGGTGGGCAATTATTTTGGCTGGAGGGCAGCATAATGAGTTTTGGTGAACTGTTGAGGGCTGAAAGGGTAGCCTTGCCTCTTGACAGGTGCTCTGCTCCCTGGTTGCCATCTTGGGACCATAAGTCCCACCCTGTAACCCCTGACTTTTGACACTGGAAGTCCCTCCCCTTGCCCCCCAGAAATCTTTTGGGAAGGGAGGGTTGTCATCTTGGAACCAGAAAAAAAAATACTAAAAGTCAAACACCTACTATAAGATACTTTAATTTTATTACAAAAAATATTTTTGTCATGATTTCTGTTTGTATAGTGTATATAGAGATGACTGCATAACAACTCAAAAATGAAGTCTTAGTCTTGCATATTGTGTGTGGAGGGAGTGGGGGGGGTTGTGTGTAGTGTGTGTGGGGGACAGCAGAGTATGTTGGGGCGTGTTTGTATGTGGGGGGTGTGGGGGGTTTGTGCATGTCTGACAGAGGGTAGGGACCCCCCCAATGGCACACAGTCCTTGCCACTGACAGCAGCAGCAGGAGTAAGTGCTCAGGGTGCTTGAGCCCTGTTCAGGTGCTGCTGCCCACAAGGAAGCAGGGGGCAGGTCTCCCCTCCACTACTGACAGAGTACTGGGACCTGCACAGCATGGAGTGGCAAAAGGCAAATCACACGGGGCTTCTGCCGGTGCAGCACAAGTACTGGGAGCTGCACGTGTACCCCAGGCAACCCTGGCTATAGAGATGGGTCAGCTGGTCTGTCCTCCTTGCCCCCATGTGCAACACTGGCTGGAGCTGGACGCTGCTGGGTAGCAGTGTCCTGTGCTGGGCACAAGTGCCCTGAGCGCTCCCACCTGCTTCATGCTCATGCCACCCCCTTGGGCATGGTCTGCGCTGCTGCCAACCCTAGCCCCATAATCCGTGCTCCTGCCCAGCTGCAGCTCCCCACCCCACCACTTCCCTAGCTGGTG